AGAGGCCGAAGGCAATACAAGGACATACATAAAGGAGTATAGCATACGGCAGGGAGGGAAACCGGCAGAAACCGGTAAAGGCGAGTAGTTTCCACGAGTTTTTCAATGAGCAGCAAGAAATGGTTCCCAACCTCTGAAAATTTGTACCAACATCCGTTAGGTCACGAGGATCACGAACATATACTTATTTTCCCATTTGGATGTGGTTAAAAGCATAAAAAAAAGAGAAACAAAAAAAATGTGATCGGATCGCCTTGATTGTTTTTTTTCACCGCGTTGCCGATTTCGGCGCCTCCATTTCTCCTCGGCAATCGATTCCGCTTGNTTCCACGAGTTTTTCAATGAGCAGCAAGAAATGGTTCCCAACCTCTGAAAATTTGTACCAACATCCGTTAGGTCACGAGGATCACGAACATATACTTATTTTCCCATTTGGATGTGGTTAAAAGCATAAAAAAAAGAGAAACAAAAAAAATGTGATCGGATCGCCTTGATTGTTTTTTTTCACCGCGTTGCCGATTTCGGCGCCTCCATTTCTCCTCGGCAATCGATTCCGCTTGGCCGATTTAGAGGGGGTAGAGCCACTCAGTAAGTTGATCAGACTAAAACTCGACGTGGGAACCGAGAATCCAAATCCCAGGAATTTTGAAATTGCTCAGCTACTACTGTCAGCTATTGAGCAGCTGAGAGTCCATTGCAAATCAAAACTGGGACATTCCAACAATATACTTGTGATCCCCACCCAACCCTTGGGGTCCATTTTATTTTGGTATACCTTTTCTAGGTACGTTAGCCTGTGACCACGGAAATCGACCGAGTCAAGTGCTGGATTAGTACGGAGAGATTTGAGACAGAAGGAGGTACTGGATAATAGAGAGACCGGGATGGTTTTTAATGTGACGACAACAACAACAACCCTCATTCGAAGTCAGGAGAGATTGAATCAACATGTAGAAAGTGTTGCGGGAGGGGGGATATTTCAGTGTAATTCCTAGTAATTCCAGGTTATCCCTGCTTTCGCGCATAGACATCAGAGCGTAGCTGTATCACGGCCGCATCGATCCTGATCGAAATTCTTACGACGGATTCTTCTTGATGTACAACACAACATTACCCTAACCTGAAAATTTTATACGATTCGGAGGCGTTTGCAACTTGCTCGGGGGGCCCGCAGACGCGATTTTCACCCAATTGTGGCCACTAATTCATCAATAAGTCATTAGGCCACTTGTTACGCTGTCTCTTTTTGAGCTGTCCCTTTTCTCAAAAAGGGACAANGCTGCTGCTGCCAGCGAGCAGCGCCAGAGACGGCAGCCACTTCCACATACATGGGAGATGCTGGTGGGTGTGTGGGTGTGTCCACGGTGTCGCGAGATTCAAAAAAAGGACAACATAAAAAGGACAGGGCTACCCTGTCACAAAGTTGCCCAAAAAGGGACAGGATGGGGTGATCTTTTTTCGCTGTCCCTTTTCGGGAGGTTCAAAAACGCAAAAAAAGACCACGTAAAACAAGTGGTTTTTGGTCAGTTGTCCCTTTTTGAGAAAAGGGACAGCTCGAAAAGAGACAGCGTAACAAGTGGCCTATAACAAGTGGCCTAGGACTGGCCTTATGACTAAACGTTGTTTTAGACATGTATCCAAAAACGGTTTTTCATTCGAGTTTTTCCTCGCCGCGAGAGAGACAATTCGTCTTTACCGCGAAACACCCCAGTGGTCAGTTGTCTCTCAGGGCTGCTGCCAAGGCCTACGGGGTGAACAAGGACGCGCTCTCGCGACGTTTGAGCGGTGCTATGGCCATGGATGCGAGGGTTGGCCCCGAGACTGTGCTGAGCAAGGCGGACGATTATGCGGTGGAAGATGCGTTGATCTACGCTTCTCGACACTTTCTGAGTTTCGGTCGGCAGCAGCTTATAGATGCGGTGCGAGTGCTCTGCCTCCACGGACGCCCGGTGCCCTGGGACCCAGATAAGGGCCCGGGGCGCAGCTGGCTTGACGGCTTCATGGCGAGGCACCCGGCGTTGTCGGAGCGAACAACTCACATCTACGAGGCAAACCGGATCAACGAAAACGATGAGCCTCGGCTCAAAGATGTCTACAAGGCATGGGGAGCATACGTCATGGAGAACAAGCTCACAGCGGACCGCGTGCTCAACACGGATGAGACAGTTGAGTTCTGGCAAGGTCTGAGGCATCAGTATCGACTGCTGTGCGTTCGTGCGCGAGGTATCAGCAGCGCTGTGGTGTGCCACAACAAAGCGGAGTTCTGCTGTTGAAAAAGAATCATGTTTCGCCAAGTTCCCCCTCATATCATTTTGCCGCTGCTGCTGCTCGTCACAGCACACACAACGCCGCATTTGATGCTGGATTCGGTTGAGGGTTGAACGGGCAGCATTCTCTATGGACACCCAAGTAATACTCTACCGCAGAAAGTGGGGCTCATTCACCACGAGTTGTTTTTTTGCCACACGCTCCGCAGACCGCGTGTGCACCCCGGTGTTGGTCCGCATGCGCGTGCGTTGCCCGAACGCTGCGCATGTACAGATTCCGTACCCCGCTGTGCTGTTGTAGACACACCCTGCTCGTGAGCTGAAAGTAACCTGTCGTGGGCCACCTATTTGTGGAGACTGGACGAATCCGACAGCTGTTGCTGCTGCTGCGGGCAAAAAAAAACGGTCCCGTCGCCACCGCTGTGTGGTACCCTTGTGTGCCCTCCCGCCACCCGGTGCGAGCTGCGGTGTGTGTGTCCGCGGTGCTTGTGAACTAGACTAGCGCGTTTTTTTTTTTTGTCGTGGCGTGTGCACGCGTTGCTGTGATGTGTACACACACGTTGCTGTCTTTCCACTCGTGCACGGTGTCCGCGTGTGTTGAAGGTTCCACCCCGCAAGGAACGAAGGCGGGGAAGGCGTTCGCCTTGAAAGGCTCCAAGGTGCCGGGTACGAGGCGTGCGAACTCGAGGGAAAACACCACGATCGTCTCCACCATCGGCGCCGACGGCCACACCTACGACCCCACCATTATTTACAAGGGACAGCGCATGCAACCGGATTGGGTCGCCGACGACAACGGCATCCCCGGTGCGAGGTACACCGTCACGGAGTCTTCCTTCATCCAGAGCGACGTCTTCCTCAGCTACCTTCGGAACCTCCGCGAACAGCTCAACGCTCGTGGCTTGCAGGGCAAAGTTGCCCTTGTGCTTGATGGCCACGCCTCGCACACGACCTTCGAAGCCATCTCCTTGGCGATTTCTCTGGACATCGACCTCTTTCAGCTGCCGTCCCACACATCGCACATGACCCAGCCCTTGGACGTCGGTACGTTCGGAACCTTCAAGAAGCAGATGACCAAGGTGCTCAATGCCTACCCGCTTCAAAACGGAGGGAGGAGTCCGGGAAAGCGTGACATGGCTGGTGTGATTGGCAGGCATGGGCCGGGAGTTTTACATCTTCGAACGACATCTCGTCATTCAGAGGGGCGGGCCTATGGCCGGTGGACATGGAGAAGGCTAAGCGCGCGGAAAGGAAGGCAGCGAAGGAGGCCGACCGCGCGAACGGTGGAGGTCGTGGGCAGGTTGGCCGGCGGGCGGGCGGGCAGGGGGGCGGGCGGGCGTGCGGGCGGGACGGGGGGCGAGGCGGAAGGAGCAGCGGAGGGCCGAACGGGGGACGTGGTGGAGGGCGGGGAGAGATGAGCGTGAGGGGTGAGCGAAGCGGGACACGGACGGCGGTCGGGGGGGGCGGTGGTGCGCATCAGGGAGGGCGAGGGGGCCGTGCCCCCGGACAGGGCGGCCGGGGCCGCCCTGCTGGTGCTCGCGGGGGGGGGAAGGGGAGCGGGAGCGCGCGAGGGGGGCGTGGGGAGAGATGGTCGCGTCCAAGGAGAACTGGGACGGCCAAGAGGGGCGACGGTTCCCTTGCGTCAGCCGCCGCCGGCGGCGGCCCCCGTTTCCTCCCGAGGACGGCAACGGACCCCGACACCAATCGTTGATGTTTACAGACTAGAATAAAGAGGCGCCAAATGACCTCCAGACGCCATTTCTTTTTCTTGCAGTATTATTCTATACGTGGTGGAAGCTCGGAAGTGGTTTGTAGGCTATGTAGAGGTGGTTCCACCACCAGAGGTCGGGGGGGGAGGGGGCGATACCTTGATTTTGCGGGGAAAGCGGGGATATGGTAGTTTTGTCCCCGGGTATGCATGATTTTATTTTTATTTTTTCATAACAAGTTCCCTTGTTGTAGAACACACCTGGCCACCAAATGGTGTCTTGTGGGAGTGTACAGCGAAGGAGAGACATTCGGAACAAACATTGGGGTTCCCGGGGAGAATTCGCCGCAACGGCCTGGGAAAGGTATGGCTGTTGTAACAGGCAAAACACCCTCTCCATAACGTTTTTCGCTCTAGTTTTTTTTGTAACATATAATCAGAATGGACCCATCATGCATGAAACTCGTAGTTTTGGCTCTCCTCAAGTTCACAGCACCCGCTGTGCGATCAAAATAGGGTAGTTTCAGCCCCGATAAATATGGTGGAAACCCGGGGATGCGACGTTCGTGGCCCCTGGCTGGATCGATCCCATTTTTTTTTCTATATGGACATGAGTTCAAGCAAAGGGTGTACGAAAAAAATCAGGTCTTGAAACGCTTTAGATCTCGCGCAATCACCACATCTTTAAAGTGTCTCTTGACGGGGGCGGGGGTGTTTTCCACCTTATTATCCCGGAAAATTAGAGGTATTACAGGAGTCATATCTTCCCAGCACTTGCGATTTTTTGGGGGCGGAGGTAGCCTGTGATGTTAGCTACTGTACGATACCTCGACATCAATGATATTCGTCCTAATAGTCAAGAACGAGCTGATTGAGCGGAGGGTGGCTTAAGTGTCACATTTACTCTAGAAAGTAAACCTCTCATTTTGTCACACTCATTGTCATTTATCATTTCAAAGACTTCAATATATCCCATTCGACTGCAGCATTCTCTCGAACGGAGAGTGTTTGTGGTTGTCGTTCATATCCAACAAGTATGTGTGTATCTCGAACACCCGTGAATACATCCTTCGAATTGTGAACGGACGGCTGTTGTGTGGTTCTTTGATCTACTGCTGTACAGCATGCACACCTGGGATGTACAAAAATCAAGTACCACCATGGTTGTTTCCGGGTTCGATCGCCGCCCGGCCTTTCATGATCTGCTGTTGTTGTTATCGCGTCTGTTTGAGGATGATGTTCTGTCGATTCTATTCCGTCTGTTGGTTATTCATTCTAATAGAAGTGTGACCCATGGGGGCTGGTTGGCCTGTGGCCACGGAAGGCGCCCGCTTCAGTTATAGACCGGTAACGGATATGTTAGAAGCTACGAGCAGAGATTCGATAAGTTAGGGTTAGCTTAGTGGGTTAGGGTTATAGCTTCTAACATTATTCCCTGTATCCTCACGATTAAGATTTAGCGTGCATCATCACCAATTTCGAAGAGGAGCGATTAGCCAACCGAACTTGGGGGTGGCCCGAAAAACGTGACCCGGTGGCGTAAACACCGGCACCGAATCGGCGCTGAGACTTTTCAAAAGTCTTCGGCTCGAGATTCCATCGCAACTACGAGAGATTATTCCGGTAGTTGTCTAGGTCTCCCGGCTGAATGAACCTACGCCGGAAAAAAAGTTCTTGGCAAACTGATTTGTGAAGATTTTTCGTCTGCTGTGTACGCCCGGAACCATTTCGTCAATTTCACGACACAGCTCTGCAGGGCATTCGTGCCCGCTGCATGTAGCTTGTGCATCCTAGAGAGGGCGTGTAGACTGCGCGAGGAGATCTCTCACGACGGACTCAACTACGACTTCGTGGGTGTACAGGCCCTCGAACACCGAGTACTCCCCCGCAGAGCACGCGACACTACTGAAGAACCTCGTTCTGCAGGCTCGGGTTCTCATTGCCTATGCAGCTCGTCACCAGCCACTACTGCTGTAGTGTACATATGGGTTCGCAACCGGGCCATCACAAACGTGTGCTAGTTCTGTGGCGACGCGACCTGTACCCCTGCGTGCAAAAATCTGTCCAAGTTTTGAGCCCCGATCCACTCCATCTGGGAGAAGGGGGGGTGGGGGGCTGCAGCTCGAGTAGGTGTAGACAACGGAAGCCGCAGTACCTGTGAAAATGGGTTGTTTTCTCGTGAGCTCACGTCCGTCAACAAGCAGAGGTACAACGCAAGTACAGTCGAAGCGTCTACCAGTATGCTGAAAGGGCGATATTATCCCACACGTACGCTCGCCTCTGTACACATCGCATTTGCAACATTAACTATATCTACATGAGCTCCTCCTACACTCTCTGGGGCAGAGAAACATACGGGAACGGCTCTTGGGTAGGCAATGCGTCTCTGCGCGCCTTGCAGGAACGAGAGAGCGAGGCTCAGCTGCACTCTCCAAATCTAGGTGCTGGCTAGCTATCGATCCCAAACCGAGCCTCCTACTCTTTGGCGGCCGGTGGTTTTGTTGATGTCTCCTTCGTATCTCTCTGATAGATCTCGTCGAATACATGCTCCGCGTCCTACAACATAGTGGCAGCGTGCAGCGTGCGTGCGGCAGGAGGGACAGAACGTTGGTGAACCGCGTATGGACAGTCACCAAGCGCGCTTGAACCTAAGCCGCGGTGTTCATCGGATAACAAGGACAGGACGTCAAATGACGGCTCCAAATTGAGCTTTCGAGGCCTACGCATAGGGGAGGTGAAAGGGGCATATCTCACCTGTTCCGAGTTCTTCTTCACCCACGCGATCAGCTCTGCCACGCTAATCTGCCCGTCGGAGTCAGTGTCCATCTGAGGACACAATTCGGTCACGGCATGTCATACGCGTGTTCAGCGAGGGTGCCCTCCAAACTGGCGATCGCCGTGGTGGAATGCACCGACAGATCCCCACGCACCTTGACGACGAGCTGCAAGCATGTGTACGCAAAAACAAGACTTGCTGATACGGTACACAATTTCATCCAGATCGGTTTACTGTACTGCATCATCCATCTCCCGGTACCACTACAACATCTAGGCAACCAAACACACAACATGCTCACGTCTTCGGCGATCGCCTTGGCCTCCGTTGCCGTGCTTTTCGTTGCTAGTACGTGTTGCACCACATGTGCAATCTCTTCCGCAGACACCATTCCATCGGAGTCTCTGTCCAAGACGTGCATTTTGTCGCCGATCCGCTGCTCCACGGACTGGATCTCCAGCTCAAGCCTATTGAGCATGGATGCCAGCTTCGTTTGCACCCGCTCTACGCTCTTATCCACAGCAGGCTGTATGCGGCAACAAAAACAGGGCGCATACACCGAGTAAAGGGAGGATGTCACAAGGGTCTTATGAGAAAAAAACTTGAGGACGCATGGGCCAGCTAATCGAAAACCGGGGTCCGTGGCGGGGGGGGGGG